ATATATATATATATATATATATATATATATATATATATATATGTATAATTAGCTAAAAGTAATTGTAAACTTTTAAATCTAACTGAATAATTCACGACTGACAACGATTCAAAGCTTTATCTTACCCTCTTATTCGGGCAAACTGTCTTAGGTTCTGCTCTAGTAAAATCTGGGAGGGGGCTGCAGATGGAAGAGGAGTCGATGAGGTTATGGCAGAGGTTGTGACCTCTGGGCTAGTCGGCTGCATGCCTTTAGGTTCCCCCATAGACAGGCCACACACCTTGTCCACCTGTGGGGAAAGCAGAGCAAACACACACCTGCTAAGCAAAGAGAACATATGAAAGTGTGGGTGAAGCTACAGGGTGGTTTCCAAACCACTCTAACAACAGCATATTTGAAGCATTTATATGCAAATGAGTCATTACAAAGTATTTTATTTAGATTGATGCAATCACATTACAGATAAAGAATGCTAACATTTTGGTGGTTAGATGAATGATCGATGTGGGAAAAGGTAGACGTGAAGGGAGGAATGTGATGAAAGAAAAGGGCTGTGAAGAGTGAGTTCTTGCCAGGAGGGCTGACAGTAAATATAGCACATTCCACTACATCACAGAGATGAATGCACGTGTGCACTTTTGGCAACGGCTTCAAGTATCTTCAGTGGGCTATTAAAGCCTGCGGTGGAGGAAAGGAGACAGCAGAACCATAAGGAAAAAAAAAGAACCATGCTTCAAACTAACGGACAAAATCAATGACATCTCATTGGCTTAAAAGCCTCTGGGCAGTGTTGTTAAATGATCCTCAATTAGCCAAAGAGACAGGCTGCAATGGCTTTTTTGTGCTAGATTGAGTAAGTCCTTATAGAGATCAGTGCATATACACTGCTTTGTCTAAAAGGATGAGTCATTTGACAATAAAGGCATCAATCATGCTTAGCTTTTTGAATTTTTTTTTTATTTGAAAACCTTACTAAATAAATAAGTGAAAATAATGGAGATGTATCTAGTCAACTTCACTGGCCAACTTCAAAAGGTCTAAAAATTTAAAAGAACAAATGGAAGTTCACATAAGTATTGTTCAGATCAATATTCATTCTCAGTCTGTGTAGCCTTAATGCACTTCCATGGCGCTAAATGAGGGTTTGATTAAAGCCAGAAAGCTTCACTCAGTGTACATTTTAATTTGCATTATCTTTGTAGTTTGAATGCAAACTGTCCTGACCCATGCTGTAGGGCCACCAATTGACCTTGCATGTCTCCGTACAAGCATCAAGTTATTACTTGGATTTCTTCTGATTTTTTTTTTTCTTCTTTCTGCTGCTCCCTTTTTCAGGGGTTGCCACAGCAAACTAAGTTGCACGAAGACTTGGCAGTTATTTTTTACGCCGGATGCCCTTCCTGATGCAACCACAGACCACCGAGCTACCGCAGCCCTTCGTGTGGAGCAGAGCGCCACCATCCAGGACATCCGGAGGAGCAGATGGTGGGGGTTAAGGGCATTGCTCAAGGGCCTTGCTCAAGGGCCCACAGTGGGATGAATGAAGGTGGGGGCAGGTGTGGGTGCTTCACCTACCCCACCCACATTTTTGATGTTGTCGGTACCGGGGTTTGAACCGGCGATCTTCCGATCACAGGCCCACCTTCTTTAATCTCTGCGCCACCACTCCCTTACCTGGATTTCTTCTCATAAAAAGGGAAAAAGGCACAGTGATGGGAGATTGTGATGAAGTAGGGATTTTACACAAACTGCTGGCTTCCTTGTATAAACAATTTACTTAATGGCATTTTATGATGTACATGAATCTAAAAAAGTTAAATCTGGTCCTCTGGACATTCAAAAAACAAAACAAAGCAAAACAACCAAAATGTAGAAACGTTTCGTCTTTCATCCGAAAGACTTCCTCAGTCTGAGGTGCTGTACTCAGCCCAGTCTTATAAATAGCACCTTCTCAGAGTGGATCAACCAGTTTTGCTGCTGACAACCAAAACCAGCTGCTCACATGATAAAGAAGGACCATCAGCCTAACGATGGATCATTAGCACACTGATGGCTATTTACTATTCACAGAGGGCTGAGTGATACTAGCAATCACAGCATTGTACAAGGGGACAGTTGAACCCGGAGGCCTCCACTCCCGTTTAATGATGGATGACTTCTTTTCACAAAGATGGCCTCCTTTACTCCTCTTTCAAACCATTGTTCCTCTCTATCCAGGATGTGAACATCTTCATCCCTGAAAGAGTGACCACTGGCCTGGAGATGAGTGTAGACCGCAGAATCCTGGCCTGATGATGTTGATCTTCTGTGCTGGGCCATCCTTTTGGCCAGTGGCTGTTTAGTTTCCCTGATGTAAGACTGATCACAGCCCTCCTAACACTAGTACCTAGTAACCTGGTACTCTGTTTGTGCCAGGAGACTGGATCTTTGGGATGAACCAGTCTTTGCCGTAATGTATTTTGGGGTTTAAAAGCCACTGGGACGTTATGTTTAGAAAATAAACATCTCAGTTTCTCTGATACTCCCTCAACATATGGAATGACCACTGGTCTGTGTCTGGGTTCCTCCTTTTCACCTGATGGCTGACTGGAGTCCTGTTTGGGTTTCTTCTCTGCTTTCAGGAAGTCCCAGTTAGGATATCCACGTCTAGAACCTGTCTTGTGTGGGATTTCTCCTTCTGCATGGCTCATGAGTTAGTGGGGACACTGTCTGCTCTGTGATACTGAGTCCTGATGACTCCTAACTTGTGCTCCAATTTTGTGCACACAAAAAAACCCAAAAAAACATTTTGTTTGTTTGTGTGTTTTGCTTTGTTTTGTTTGTTGAATGTCCAGAGGACCAGATTTAACTTTTTTGATTTTTCTACCTGGATTATTGAGCATGCATCAGAATGTATATGAATGTTTCTGTACTGTGCCCTGAGATTACTTTTGTTGTGAATTAGCTCTACAAGTAAATTAAGCTGAAATTAATTTAATTTAATTGTTTCAAAACTTTTGTATAACATTTTCCAGGTGCAAACCCTGTTGCAACCAACCTCTGAGCTATCTTTGTGTGTAATAAGCAGAAAACAATGCCATGTAAGTTTGGACATTGTCTTGATTAATTGTTTTTATTAGATGTTGGGGAAGCAGAACAGTCTGATGAGAAATGGATTACTGGGACAAGACATTAATTGAAAGGGGAAGAGAACTTACCACTATTGGAATGTTGCTATACTAGCAATACTGGAGATAAAAGGATGGGAGGATGTGGGAACTATAGAAACTTCAAAACCCAACATTCAGATTGACTCAGAAACAACTTGAAACCTGGTGTTAAATAGAGAAGTTGTGGAGGGTTACGGCTTCAGTGGTGCAAGTGGTCATTGTGACCACAAAACTAGACAAATGGCTCCAGCAGATACCATGAACAACCTCAGAGATTCAAATTCAAATTCAAAAATACTTTATTAATCACAGAGAGAAATTAAATGTTGTTGTAACTCATCATCCTGGTTTCATTAAAGAGTTGTTACAGATGTTGACAGATCTCTATCCAGGAGACCACAGTCCTAGGAACAGTTACAATACTGTATCCAAAAGCTCACACAATTTGAGCAGGGGACCCAAGATTAAAGTGAAAAGTGCAAACACATGATTTTTATTAAATTATTTGACAAAATGTTTGACAATACAAAAAATATGACCAAATTGAAAAATGGATGATGAGGATTCTGTATGGTGAGCTTCCTATGTAATGTGATTTTTGTTCTGATTGATTTTGGAGTTGTTTGTACCTGCTGTGGCCCGCGTGTTGTAAACTGTACCATGTCAACCACAGTCATCCAAGCTTGCCCTTGTACTTTAGAAGCATTATCCTAGATGAAGCAAGCTAACTTGTGCATTAGCAGCAAGCGATTTCTAAACGGTAAGGCCCTCAATTCCTTACGACACAGAGATAATACCATAACTACCTGAATAATTGCACTTAACCATTCAAAATGTCTTTCAGTCTCCAAACCCTTTCCCTACTACATGCGGGTGGGTCTTAAATCTTGTCTTCAAGCAGACGCTGGGCACACAGAAGGTTGTTTTACTGCATTAACCTTCACTCCCTTTGGACTCATAAAACATGCTCGCATGTGGTAAAGCAACCCACAGCCGCACATGTAAACAAAGCACACGTGCACACATTTCATAGTCATTCTAAGAAAAAGCAGAGCATAGTTATATATTTTTTGATGCAAAACGCTGTGCTCAGACTTTATTTGTACAGTTAGTCTAAAAGCAGATAATGGGATTGTTTTGCATATTTGTTGAATTATTGTAAAAATACCAAATGTGTGTCATTTAAGTAAACAATTTAGCATTTTGTTTAGTATAAAATGTCAGTGTTTAAATACTTGCTTAATTGGGTTCATCTTGTCGAAGTGTTTCATGTCTCTGTTGTTTTTTGTTGCTAAGGGTAAAAAAAAGTATCTATAACTCAAATTTTAGGGATTCATTACACATTTTTTTGACAACAAGAAGTCCAATGGTAGCATGCCCAGACTGCAGTGTTTGGGAGGTCTGAGGCACTGCATGTGGAAGTGTGTGTGCGGCTGTAAAAGTTGTAAACTGGGCAGGTTGTGCAAGGGATAAGTAGGCTTTAAATTGAGCAGGGCGACTAGTTTAACTGTCAGCATAAATAAGTGTAATCAAAGTCAGCAAAATGTTTATTATGTTAGGTTACCCAAGCAGTTGGTAGTGAATACTTTATGTGCAGTTTAAATTGATTACGTCCCTCCAAAAATATTCATACTGACTTTTTTTTATTATGCAGTTCTATTTTAAGTTCATGACATACATATTAGTTTGATTTTAGTTATCCTGTCAAAGTATCACAAAACATAGTAACATCCTAAAAAACTGATATTTTCAAGAAAGTAAACTTGGGCTTTATACCCGGTGCCATTTCTCACCTTCTTCCGTATGACACTTTGCTTTTATGCAAAAAGACAAAAACGTAAACATCCGAGTAAAATATGAACACCAAGAGGAGGTCACTCTCAGTTTTGTTTGCATTCTCCCATCACTTTTCCCTGCATACCACAGAGAAGAGGTTCAAAATCACAGGACCTCTGAGGAGGCCAGAGAACAGAGAGAAGACCTCCATTTCAAACAATAAGGCAAACATAAGTCACTCTTTTGCCTAACTAAACAGACAGCAGGGTAAACAGAAGGCAAAGTCATTGCAGGGGGAATAAACAGTATCCTCTTAAAGATCCTCTTGAAATACAGACAAACACTCTTATGGCCATTTAATCCT